TATTTCATACCAAGTATATAAAAATAGCCTCTTTTTTTTTGATAAATAAAGACGTTTTCATTTACATGGCAAACAACGTGCGAATAGCTAACTGCTGGCCACCAGCTCTATTTGACTGATTGTCTAGGAGATGACATGCAGTGATAATTGTCCCTTTGCCTTCACAAAAAGAAAAATAGATCAGCAGGATCTGTGCACTCCCGAGGCCAACAGTACCATGGATATTGTTCAGGAATGACACACAGGCACTCAGGAAAAACCTTTGCTACACTTCACAAAAGCCACCTAGGACAAGACTAATCCACAAATTCTTTGTCTGGGACTTCTAGCTGCTCAGACCCTCAGGGTCTTTGGACTTTTGCCCAAGTCTGTCAAACAGACCAGTAAGTTAATACCTGTACAGAAAAAATGTTTCTATTATGCTTCTAGGGTCTAGAGATTGTTTGCTACAGTATGGAGGTGGTTCTGCCTTTCCCTGGCTCCTCACACTCTCTTCTGCAAGATTCCCCACTTGGCCCAGTCTTCATGCCTGCCAGAGGCAGAAAAGACAAACTAAAGCCATCATGCAGTAGTAGGTTTGAAGTGGGCAGCTGCGTCGTGTGCACTGATATCATACGTTTATGGCTTTGTTATCTTTCACTTCTGCTGTGCTTGTGACAACTTCCAGTGGAAAGTTCTCCAAGGGTTTTGTAGAGACTGATGCCATTCCTTCTTGGTTCCAAGATCCCGGCAAGTTTTCCAGACTGTAGGAACTAACAGGTCCCTGACTGAAGCTGCCCTCCTCTGATCTGCTTGGGAGAACTAGGTGCAAAGATGTTTCTGAGGAGGAGCAGACAGAGGACGAGAGAGTTGCTGAGATGGACTGCAGAGGCGTCAACGTAGTGTCTGAATGTGGGGAGATGCACCTTAAAAATTGCAAATGACCTTCTTGGACAACCTGGTAGTGGGAAGGTGAATAATCAAGGTTTGGAGAATGATAAAGTTCACTGTCTGCAAGGTTTTGCTCATGAGCTCCAGTTCGTTGGGGGCTGCTCCCCACAGAAGAGGGATCCACATTGCAAATATCTGAGGTGATATTACTGCTACAAAGTTGTGCTTGGGTATAAGCAGCCCCACCTGTTTGCAAGTGTAGGCAGGGTTGGTGTGTACTCCAGCTCGTTCTGGTCTGTAAGCTTTCCCTGGAGGGACACACAGAGATGGTGTGCTGAGAGCAAAACCGTGATGGCTGCTGAGGTGACAGAATGTTTTCCAGAAGTTGCATCACATTCTTCATGTCTTTACCTAGCTGGGAGACTTCCTGAGTCAATGTTGTTACCTGTGTGGGTAGAGTAAAGCAAAAGGCAATAGTTAGAGGTATGTGGTAGTGCCTAGACTTCAGAGCAGTGAAGCAGGGAAATGGGATCTCTTAGCAAGAAAGCCCGAAAGGCTGCTCCAGCTCCAGCCAAGCCCAAGGGGTGAATGGATAGATTGGGCATCTGGATGGACATACATCCTGATGTAATGCCATCCTCATTCTGAAGGAACCTAGTGAAACATAAGTAGTCTTAGATTCTTAATCAATGATTCGGGATTCTTAAACAGAATTGGAGATGTGGATTCATAATCTCTTAAATGCTGATGCTAGCTTTTGTCTCCTCTGAGCTAATGGGATGCACAGTGGTACACAAAAATCATCGGATACTTCAAATCAATGTAGGGTAGCAGATAATTGGATGTTATGCACTCAGCAGATTCAGCACTACTGTGTGCCCAGAGTAGACACCTAGGGAATGGCAGCTCTCACTCTTGCCATTTCTGGTTGAGGTCTGTGCTTATCATGGGCCAGAGATAAAGTGGCCTTCAGTGATGGTGAGAACGGTAAGCAAAAACTCATACCAGATTTGCTAGGGAGGGAGTTCACAGAAAAAGGAAAGCTACAGAATGAGAGTTGGAAAGAAATAAAAAGACCTACAAGATGGATAAGTACAGATAAACATTGTGAGGCACCTCAGAGTTTCTGGGCTCCATCAATGAACCCCAAACCTCATGGAATTATTAACCCAGATTGTGTTGTATGTGCTTTTTCAGTTTTCTGGGTGAGACATTTAGCTTTCATCAGATTCTCAAAGGAGACACGGCTCCCATACACTTAAGAATCACTGAAGGGTCTTCATTTCACACTTAACACGAATAATAAAATTCATCAGAGAATTTATTTTCCTAACAAACACATCAATATTTTAATCATGGAGAACACCAGAAGATTGAATTTGACTTAAATCTATCTTTTCTTAAGTATTTGTATTCCTCAAATTGAGGGAAACTTATATTTCAGAAAGCAGGACACACATATATTTTCTAGTCTTTGCTTAAAGTCATAACACTAACATAATGTTGTAATATTTTGCCTTCATTGATATAAGACTTTGTATTTTATTTTCTATAACTTTATTTTACTATCATGAACCACAAAACTCTAATAGAAGCAGCTGAACCCATTGGCTAAATACAATCAGAAAAAAAAGGGGCGATTCAACTTCAATGAACTGGATTCATTCAAGACTGCTATTTTGGGCAGACTTTCTTCAACATTTTAGTACACATTCCTAATTCATCCAGCAACTTAATTCAGTCTACTTCCTATGAGTGCATTCTGAAACTAATTCTCCCTGGCAGGCCCATCAGGAGGTAGCACTGCTCAAAGTCAGGCATTTAAAAAGACCAGAAGGAGGTTTTCCCATGGTTCAGGCAACCAACTGGTAACACCTGCCCTGAAATTGCCAGGCCAAAACTCTTTCTGCCCTGCTGCCAGCGTGGAACTCAAGGGATTCAACTGAAAACTTGTCCAGGCTTGCAGAAGATCTAAACTTCTGAAGACAAGATACCTCTCAGCCTCACATTTTAAGAAGTGAAACAATGAATTTAAGAAAAATTCAATGTACTTTGAAATTTTCACTACAGATTGTCAATTTCATCACCTGTCAAGCCTCAATTCTAAAGCACATGGATCATACTTAAATCAGTATCACAGATCTTTGCACTACCTACATTTACAAGGGTCCCATCTTGAATTGATGAGCTCTTCCATCAACATTTCAGAAGAGAAGGCAGCCACTAATTGAGACAGTTGAAGGGACATATTAACTATCCATT